TCTGAGATATTCCTCATTTTCTCCTGAGTCTCAGTCAGGTCTCTTACTGGGAGAGTTGAGCTGAGTCTGATCATCATATGCAAAGCAGGTCACAACAATAACATTATAGCAGTAAAATCAGAGAAAGATGTTATTTAGAGACAATAATTCTACTTTCATACTTAATTACACATCCTGAACTCCTGAGATGAGTCTTTTAGTCTGTATGTTTTTATCTGAACAGTCGTGTTTTTGTTCTTCAGTTCTTGATAAATGTACACAGAATCTGTAATAGCAGCAATTCACAGGTAGACAGTCTCACTTATGAGGTAAACTGTAGTAACTGATATTTAAGATTTAGGACTCTTCATGCTTTTTAACATCTAATAAGAGAGCAGAGTAAAGCAGAACTGAACTGATTTCTGTTCTGATAGATGTTTAATAAAGCAGCAGTGATGGTGAAACAGGAAGATGTGAAACAGGAAGAAGCAGATTATCTGAAAACATCCTCTTTACTGCTCACTGTCAGTCAAAGCCTTGTTAGTTTCTCTTTCCGGTAGCCCGCTCAGAACAGAAATGATGACCTTTGTCTATGTAAAGCCACCAGGGCCACTATGTGTGGAAATACCTAAATTTGTTATTACACATTTGTATCAAATATATTGCTGATATCATTACAAAAAATGTTTTTCTGTGTTTGCTCTCAAATATTTGGAGACCTTAAATCCAGACATAATAATAATAATAATAATAATAATAATAATATATTTTTTGAATAAATACTGTGTTTTTGGATTACAATGAATTTTACAATTGTATAACAGTAGTCACTGTTTTTCACAAATCTACAATGCTGTGAAAATTATTTATCCCTTCCCAATTTCTTCTCCTTCATTTTGTGCAGGTTTGTCACACTTGAAAGTTTAAGATGTTTTAAAGAGATTCAACTGCAGATGTGAAACAAAGTCATTAAAATCTACCAGTCTGGAAAGGGTTAAAGAAACATTTCTAAAGCTCTGGGACTCCAGCGAACCACAATGAGAGCCATTATCCACAAATGGTGTAAGCTTGGAACAGAGGTAAACCTTCCCAGGAGTGGCCAACCTACCAAAATTTCACTAAAAGTGCATCAATGACTCATCCAGGTGGTCACAAAGGGACCCAGACGAACATGCAGGCCTCACTTGCCTCAGTTAAGGTCAATATACATGATTCCACAATAAGAAAAGACACTGGGCAAAAATGGCATAGATGGGAGAGACGCAAGACGCAAACCACTGCATACCAAAAATAACACAAAGGCTCATCTCACATTTGCCAAAAACATCTAGATGACCACCAAGAGTCATCTGGCGTGAAGCTAACTCCGCATTGCACCATAAGAACATCAAACCAACAGTAAAACATGGCGGTGGTAGTGTGAGTGTCTGGGGCTGCTTTGATTCTGCCTGGATGACTTTTCATAATTAATGGAACCATGAATTCTGCTCTCTATCAGAAAATCCTGAAGGAGAATGTCCATCCCATCAGTTTGTGACCTAAATCTCAAGTGCAATTGGGTTATGCAGCTGGACAATGATCCGAAGCACACAAGCAAGTCCACATCTGAATGGCTTTAAAGAAACAAAATCAAGGTTTTGGGGTGGCCGAGGGAAAATTCTGACTTAAATCCGTTTGAGATGCTGAGACAAGAACTTTAATGGTCAGTTCATGCCCGAAAACCCCTGCATTGTAGCAGAATTAAAAAAAAATCTGCAAAGACTGGGCCAGAAACCCTTCACAAGTTCAAGTTATAACAAATGTTCGATTGCAGCTGTTACTGACGAGGGCAGCACAACCGGTTATTAGGTTTAGGGGGTAATCACTTTTTCACATGGGTAATATAGTCTTTGAATAAATGTTCTTTTATGAAATGTAATGATCATTTAAAAGCTGCATTTTGTGTTTACTTATGTTGTCTATATCTTATATTAAAACTAGTTGGATGATTTGAAATGTGTGTTTATATGTATGTGTTTGTGGTGTGTGTGTGTGTGTGTGGCTGAAGGTCTTTTGGATCAAACTTGGACTTCATGCTTGGTGCTGGACCATAAAGCTCCTCCCACTACTGTGAGCAGTGTTCCAAATTAAAAAGGGTAACTGTTAAAATACTAAATAAATAAATGAAAGCTGTAAAGTGCTGTTAGGGTGGTTGTTAATTTTGACTGACCGCAGAAAAAAGGAAGGAAAACAGTGTTGATAAAACCCCCACCTTAAAAACAACATTTACTCATCCCACCCTCACACACACTGTGTTCCCACACTCTGCACTGTCCACTGAGTTACACAGCTGTGAAAGGTTCAATATTACTGTAACTATGAGTTCCACTATCAGAGTGTAACAGTGGACATGGTGAAAAGCCACAAAGTAGAGTTTCAATTTCCTCAGTAAGAAGCAAATGGGGTATCTGATGTTTAGTTTGTTACATTAATGTGTTGAACTACACAAAGACTTTATTATGTGTCTTTATTTAACAGTAAATGTGGAATTATGAGCTCTGAATGTGGGATGTTATCACTCATCACCCTGCTGTGTATTTCAGGTAGGATTATTCTGCTTCTGATGAACAGCTGCAACTATAACAGGAATTATCCTGCTATATTATTCTTTATTAACAAACTTAGAATCTGACTATTAAAGAGTCACTACAGCCAAATGAGAAGGCCATAATGCCAGGAGACGACTTGTAGCTGTGTGGAGTATGGCTCCCAACACCTGCACTGCCAGCATACCAGTTGCTCCACTGTCACTTGCAGAGCCTGCTCGGTACACCATCTCCTCCTTGAGTTACTTTGCTGCATTGCATTGTGTTGATGGCGGCTTCTTGAAGGATGACCCGTGCAGTGAGCCGCACATGGTGTCTCAGCTTCTTTAGCAGCAGCGCTTTCAGGAAGTGTTCCAGTGCTAACTCTTCCTGCGCAGCTTTCCTGAACCCCAGGTATGAGGGTCAAACCATTGTACTCAGCTCCACTACCAGCACGCTTATCCGCCCCTCCTTTAGCCTTCGCCTAAATCAGCGTCCAAACAGCACTGTTCAGTTCCAAGTTCAGTGGGTGTGTTTGAGCAGGGAAATGACCAAACTGCTGGCCCACCAGGACGGGAATGAAATACACTGGACTAGATTTTCTGCAAACAAGCTTTAGAAAAAACACATAACAGCTGAAAGTGATTAATAACCAGGGGAGCTGACAGGGATTTTCGACCCCATGAATAGATATCGCATTGGGCTCCACCACTCCACCACTACAGGTCACACCAATATAGTGGCAACAGGAGCCTAAAAACATAGCACTAGCCTGGCTATTTAGTTGGCTGTTTGACTCAGCTGGCTGTTTTAAACAATAGCTTTTAAAATAGCTAACATTAGCTTACTAATCCCTCAATGTCCTGAAAGCTGTAAAATGGACATTCACTAACCTGATATTACAAATATGATGCCATTTGTGTATCTTTATTATGAAAAAGCAAAGCAGTATCTGAAAATAAATTGTGGAAAAAATAATTAGGCAACAGAGTTTAAATAATTACCACTGAAAATGCGCCCTCTGGTGTTGAATATTCTATTGACGGTGATGGGTTAATAATTTTACATTGAAAGATGTACCTAACGCCCCAGTCAGTTACAAGCCCTTAGAATTGTCCACCCCCATTATAGCGCCCCTGTTTATAACTGCACTGTTAAAGCTTTTTTATTTTTACAGATTTTCTCCTTTTTGTTTGTGTTATAAACTACACAAATCTCCACATAAACTACTTTACACTGTTTTAAAACTGAGTTCTGTTTCTTTAACTGTTTCTTTTGTTTTGTTTATTTAATCTACAGATCCTTTTTATCAGTGCTTGTTTGTGTGTTTTAAGCTATTTTAAACTGAGGTCATTTCCTCTGTGTTTATCATATCACCAGCCAACTTTACATGCTCTTGTGTTTCCTGTAACAACTGCAGCAGCATTAACACCCCTGCAGAACTGTCCAGCTAAGATCAGCTTTTGCTCTTAGATGGTTTCAGATGGTCTAATCCATCTTAAACATAACATTTTTACATCTTATTTTTTTCATTTATTGTCTCTCTCTGCATGTGTATGAACAAAACAAAAAGTAAAAGCTTTAAAATAAGATTTAATCATCTACCACTTTTAAAGAGTTCCTATAAATCATAAACTCTATTCTTTCATGTTTTTCTGAGATATTTGTAGGCCGCTGTGTTGGGTGTTAATTCTATGAGATGAGGTTGCTGAGAGAACAGAATCTTGTATTTTTGACAATGTGTTTTCAGAATAACTCACCTCAATGTTACTGTGTTGTGAGTATGAGCTAAAACAGAGAGTATCTGTGTGAGTGAATGTGTTCATACTGAGTTAGAGTGACTGCAGTGTGCAGTGCAGCAGTGCTTATACATAGTGCCTTATATATCAAATATATATGTAGATATTATATATAGTGCCTTACTTTATATATGTATCAAAATTATGTGATTATTAGATAACTATGCTAAAGAACGAGCTGATGGAGGTTTGCAGAGTTGTTGTTTTCTTTATTAATGGTGAGCAGTGCTGTGCTTGATGCCTGTTGTGTGATGATGAAGAGGCAGAAATGCATTTTAAACAAAGTTGTGAAAAAACATCTGATCACACTGAATACTGTGAAACTGTAACAACAAACCCCACTCCCAACTGACCTTGTGCTCCTGATGTGTGTGTGTGTGTGTGTGTTTGTGTGTGTGTGTGTGTGTTTCAGGAGTTCAGCACAGTGTAACTCTCTCCTCTCAGAGTCTCTGTGCTGTTACTGGATCTACAGTGATAATCTAGCATACAGAAAAACTGCAGCCTGAAAAAAGAAAAATAAAGAGCATCAATTAAAAACAAAGAGAAAAATACAGAGAAATGATCATCACACGTAAATATGGTTGTGTTCTTGAATAAAGGAAGAGACTGTAATCTGAAAGAGGGAGGTGCCATGAACACGTCTTCCGGGTCTCTGCTGCTCATTGCAGCTTTTAAGTGTGAGGAGAGCAGTGAGTTTCTTACCTCTCAGAGCTAAAACAGTGACTCTGCTTAGTTATTTACTTTAGTCAGGATTCATTCCTTCATACTTTCCTAGTAAACGTTTGTCTTATTCTGTATTCTGTTATCTTCTAGACCTGCTGCCGTGACTTCCCCAACATCAGGAAATATAACAGCAGCAGTGACTTTCATATTACTGACAGGTAAACTTTTACATTCTTATATCCATTTATGTGAACATAAAGCTGTAGATACAAACTCTTTGACATGTTCTGTTTTTTTCTGAGCATATTATAAACATGAATAGATTGAGGCAGTGGGTCAGTGGGTGTGTTTGAGCAGGGAAATGACCAAACTGCTGGACACTGACCCTTCAGGACTGGAATGAAATACTCTGGACTAGATTATTTGCAAACAAGCTTTAGAAAAAACACACAAAAGCTTCAGTAGCAAGTGATTAATAACTGTACTGTTTTATGATCTGTTAAAGCTTCTTTTATTTATATTCTATACTTCCTCCTTTAATGTTTGTGTTTTAAACTACACAAATTTCCACATAAACTACTTTAAGATATTTTAAAACCTAGTAAAACAAAAATACTACAGTCTCACTATCGCAGCATTAAAAATGCAGGTTGGTGAAAATTGCTATATAGCATTAACTTGGGCAGCTCATAACAACTCATGACAGCATATAAAATGTCACGATTACACCAGTATTGTCCAGCAAGGTTCAAATAGCTTTACTCAAAAATACATTTTATATGAAATTGAAAAAATATTAGCACCGTATTTGCATTATTTCTGAACATTAGAATTATTTCTTTATCTTTTGAACATATTTTCACACTATTTCTTTCATTTTTGTCTGTCTCTGTGCTTACCAAAAAGTAATAGAAAAGGTTTAATCCTGACTACATGTGTTAAAGGGAAGATAGTGTTAATTTGATTTTTGACCAAACCATCGCTTTCATGGCTGAAGTCCACAAACAATATGCAGACATATTTGCCAGGGCTGTCCAGTATCATGCTGACTTTATCATCCTCACATCGCTGTTATGCTAGGCTATGTATCTCCACCTGTTTTGGGGAAGCAGTTGTAATTGTGAGTTTAAAAATGGACTAAAATCACACGGTGTATGTCTGGCAAGAATTTGCTAAAGAGGACTGTTTAAAGTGACAACTTTGAATATACTTGGGTTGTAACTTCCTGCTGCCCCCAGCAAATCTATAATCCCTGGTTGAGAGCCATACCTGTTCCCCGGGGAGAAAAACATGCATGTCACCCCTACATCTGTCAGCCTGACGTTTCTGTCTGCGAAGGACACTTTTAATATGTTGGTGTGTCTCCTCCCACACCTGCTCACTTCTTGTCATCCAGTCATCAACGGATGGAACCCCTGATAGAGTAGATGTCCACAGTATGAGAGGAGGTTGATTACCTAACACTGGAAGACCTGTAGTGGAGCTTACTAGGGACTTTTGTGCCATCTCGGCCCATAGTAAGTATCTGGCCCAAACTGTTTGGTTGTTATGACAAATGCTGAGAAATCTATTCAACTCTTGATTCATTCTCTCACACTGACCATTAGTTTGGGGGTGATAACTAGATGTGAGACTAACTGAGACATTCGAAATGAACTAGGGGCCCCTATCAGACACAATGTCCTGAGGGATGCCAAACATACAGAATACATTATCAAATAAACATTCTACAGTTTGAAATGCAGTGAGCAGAGACAAAAAAGTGATAAATCTAACTCCCCTCAAAAACCTATAGCCAAATCTGACCGTGGATGAGACAGGACTAATAATGGTCATAGTTTGCCAGCTGGCAGGGTTTTGGGTGTCTTACATTGGGAACAGGTTGAACAGGATGACACAAAACAGTGAATATCTGAAATCATATTTTCCCACCAATATGTACCCTCCAACAGCTGAAGGGTTCAAGTTTCACCTGGATGGCCTGAAGATAAAGATGAGCAAGCCCATGAAATGAGCTTGTCTCTACAGGGGCTGGCACATAGGTTTTACCTGGGGGACACTGGTCTGGAACGAGAGTTCTGGCAGTTAGAATCTCTATTTCCTCATTAATCTTAAATCTAATGGGAGCGAGTATGACAGATAAGGGGAAAAATATTCTCAGGTTCCTGGTAGTTAGGCTCTGTGTTAGTATATAAATGAGACAAGGCATCAGCTTTGGTATTCCTAGACCCTGGGCAATATGTGATGGTACATTGGAAACGGGAAGAGAACAATGACCACCGAGCCTGATGTGAGTTAAGTCTCTTGGCTGAGTGCAAGTGCTATAACTTCTTGTGGTCAGTAAGGATCTAGTGGTGAGAAATGCTGTTTTCCTTTCATCCCCCTGCTTGATCCTAACTAGATTATAGGTGCTCCTGGGACTAATGGTAGAGAATATGGGTACAGTTTCATAATGGAATTCAAACCATGATAGTCTATACAAAGTCTTAACCTGCCATCCTTCTTTTTTTTATAAATAAATAAAATCCAGTGGCACCTGGAGAAGTGGAGGGATGGATAAACTCTTGTTCAAGAGCCTCTTTAACATATTCCTTCATGGCCAACTTCTCTGCGAGAGTAAGAGGATAAATTCTAGACTTGGGAGGAGTAGCACCCTCAACTAAATCAATAGCACAGCCATAGTCGTGATGTGGAGGAAGGGTAGTAGCCTTTTTCTTACAAAAGACTTTAGTCAGCGTATTCTGGGGGAATGTTGACTGGTGTGGATGTTCCTGGACTTTCAATGGATGTAGACTGCAATGCTATATTAAAGAGTTGTAAACAATGCTTTAAACAATTGGGGGGCCAAGATAACAGTTCTCTGACTAAGAAATGAGTGGATCACGTTTTTTGAGCCACGGCAAACCCAAAATGCTGGGATATTCAGAAGTGTTCAGTACCATGAAGCTGATCTCCTCACTGTGGAGGGTGCTGGTAGACAGACAGATTGGTTTAGTTACTTGAGTGATAAATCTTTCCCCAATTGGATCTCCATCTACTGCAAAAAGTCTAAGGTGATGTTTGAGTGTCTCAGTAGAAAGTTGAAGGTCCTTTACAATCTGCGAATGAATGAAGTTCTCTTCAGCTCCTGAGGTAATCAAAGCTAGAAACACAAAAGAGGAGTTTAGGCAGAATAAAGTTACTGCTAATTTAAATTACTTTGAAACCAACCCCGTTGTGGTATTACCCATCATGCTTTCCTGAGGTTGGCGCCTGAGGTCTGCGTGGGAGGAACGTGACCAGCTGCACCGCAGTACAAGCTCAGATGTAACTGGTGAAGCTTTTCTTCTTTGGAAAGGCGGGACACGTCACATTGCATGGGTTCATAAGACTTATGATCATCGTGAGTTCTTTGGGTAACATCATTTGGATCTCTGGACCTACGAGGTAGACTTGTAGGGTACTTAATGGAACTTAATTGGCCTCATGGGCATTGACCAGATATATGCCTGGATCAGGTTAAAGCTAAAGATATGAGTTCCTCCAGTGATAGTGCATTTGCAGGCTATTTCAGCAAGCATATTCGTATTTAAATCATTACGGAAGCTAACTAGTAGATGTTCACTAGTAGAATTCAAGAGCCTAACCTGAATCCGAGTGACTACCCTGGCATAAACAAGTAAGTAGTTTTCCCTGTGAGCATCTCTCATGCGGATGGTCAAATATGGACTTGAACCCCTGTAAGAAGAGCTCACAGGTACCAGATTGAACATGTGACCATACAGCAGTGGCCCAGTCTAAGGCTTTACCAGTGAGGCATAAGATGATGAAGGAGATGCGTGATTTATCAGAACTGGGTGGAGAGTTGGCAAATTAAATGGAAAATTGTAGCAAAAAAAATTAAAATAATAAAAAAAAAACTCAACATATCTGGTTTACTCACAGAAAACAGATTTACCTCGTTTTCCACAGGGCTAACAGGTAGAATGACAGGAGAACCTGGAGTACTAGGAGTGCTCAGTTGGCTCATCAGGTCTCTCAAACTTGATAGAATCTGAGCTAGTTGTTCTTGCTGCTCATTCTGCTCCTGAGTTAGCGATCCAATAGATTGAGTTAAAGTTTCAAAAAGCTGGTGGTGCTGGCTGAGCATCTGCCCTTGTTTACTCACAGCATTTTGAAGCTTCTGTTATTCTGCTGTCTGCATCTTGGCTCTGTCATATTAGGCAGACGAACTAGATGCTCACAGAAGTAAAATAAGTGAGCTTTATGGATAATAGATCAAAGCAAGGGGGTAGTCAGTAATCCAGGCCAAAACCAAGAGAGTAACAATCAGGTACATCAGGAAACTGAGTTCTGAGTCCACAAACAAGTGAGGGTCAGCAGCCAGAGAAACAAACACCAAAACCATCAAAGTACAAAGGAAAATCCAACAGGGTAAATGAGGGCCAAAATAGGGTCAGAAACTGATTTGCTTCTCCGCAAAATGAGACGAAAGGCCAGAAAAATAGTTGTTCAGACAAACACTATCTAACATCCATATGAGGATGATGTGGTCAGCATGGTCTTTTTTCAGACATCTCTGGTTTCAAATGTTAATAGACGGAACAGCAGTAAAAAAATGGGACTTTTTCCACTACAAACCAAAGTCTGCATATGACCACAGCTGCACAGTGCTGCCTGCCTGGAGGACAACCCCTCTGGCACAGTGTGGTAGACTATTAGTAAGGTTGATAATTTGCCCATATTAGGTTCTAAATTTCTAAATTAAGTGATACTGTGATGTTAGAATTTTGAAGGCTGGAAGTTGGCTGTTCATGTTAAATTCAAAGCAACATCAGGTCAGTTTCTATCACTCACTGAGCCTGTATTGTGTTTAAAGTGAGCAAATAAAAGCAGAGTTTTACTTCAAGAAAAATGCTGCTTCATTTTGACTAATTCACTCTTTCTTTTTTCTTTTAGTCCAGCCCAGAAAATGGCCACCTTCAGCCTCAGCAGGTTGCGCTTTCAGAGCTGCTTCATATTATTGCTGTCGATAACCTTCATTGTGTCTGTCATGATCTTTGTGTTTGGCATTCGTCCAAAGTCATCCAAAGTGTGGTTCCGAAATTTGGCCAAGTTAATCACATTCCAAACAGCCAAAAATCAAACAATAATAAATATGACCTCTTTCACAAGACACAACAAAACAGTCTATCAACAGACATCTGATGCCAAACACACAGCAGTAACTACAGTGAACAGACATAACGTGACAAACATGCTCAGTATGAAGTCCATGACAGCTGTTCCAGTAAAAGAAGCATCATCCATCCGTTACCATGAAGCGCATCCACACAACTACCACTTCATCATAGACGAGCCCCATAAGTGTGAACAAGAGAACCCATTTCTTGTCCTCATGGTTCCAGTGGCTCCACACGAACTGGAGGCACGCAACGCCATCCGGAGCACATGGGGTAATGAGAGTATGGTCCAAAACAAAACCATCACGGTGATCTTCTCGCTGGGTCTGCCTGGGATCGAGCCTGAGAAACAACAGGAGGAACTAAGGCTGGAAAGCCACCAGTACCATGATCTCGTCCAGAGCAACTTCATGGACACGTATCTCAACTTGACGATAAAGACCATGGTAATCATGGACTGGCTGGCCACACACTGCCCACAGGCATCCTACGCTATGAAGATCGACTCTGACATGTTCTTGAATCTGGAGAACTTGATGAGCTTGTTACTGAGATCTGATACGCCTAAAGAAAACTACATGACAGGAAAGGTTATGTGGAACATACCGGTCATCCGGGACAAGAACTCCAAGTGGTACGTGCCAATGGAACTATATGCTGAAGACTACTATCCAACATACCTGCTGGGGATGGGTTATGTCTTCTCCAATGACCTTTCAGAGAAGATTGTTGAGGTTTCAAAAGAAATAAAGCCGTTTAACATAGAGGATGCATACGTGGGTGCCTGTCTGGAACGAATAGGAATTTCACCTTCAACTCCTCCCAATCCCTCCCAGTTTAAGGACTATTTTAGTGGTAATTATAAACGAGAAGAGTTTGCCAGTGTGATCACCACCATCCTTAACTCCCCACAGCAGCTGATCACATTCTGGCAGGACCTAAAAAGGCCTATATGAAAGACTTGGAGGGAAAAGACTCAAAACGGATGATATTTGGCTGACATTTTCTTGCAATGCTTTTGCATTAACCATCGGGATTTTGGTATTTTGGGTCAATTACAATTACAGTTACAATTATAAAGTATTTACATGAGACAGTCACCTTTTTCGCATTTTTTCTGCGATGCACACCTTTTCTTTTGTGGTTTGGGTGATATTTTACATAGCCCTTTTTTGTGTTAAAACCAAAAAAATGAGATAAGATTTCCAATCTGAATAAAATGCATGCATTTCTAGACCACGCCTACATCTGTGCACATACATTTGTTTTCCTCCAGATCGTTTCCGTGCTTTTAAAAACACATTATATTGTTTCTTTTAATAATAGATTCTGTCGGACTAAAGAAAAAAGTCTATACACTTCTGATTAATTGTGTTGTTTAGTTTGATTTATGGTGAAAATTGCACATCACTGTAATTTTGAAAAAGGACATTTATAACCGGGAGCTAAAAATGTACTTGCCCATATTTATTCTAACAGTGAGCATACTGTAATATCTGTAAAAAGCAATGTTATCTGTACAGTTAGCTTAATGAAAACATTCACAGTCTTTAAGGTGGAACAGATGCTTAATTGCCTAGAATGTTTGTATTACAACAATCAATCACATGAGAGTGCACAACAGAAAACATCTTATTTAATTTATTTTAAGTAGAATTCAAGTTTTATAAATCCACCAAACACTCTGTTTGTCAAGTTAGAGGCAGTCTTCAAATAGACAGCTTGGAGATATAATAGCACATCTGCAGTTCTCTTGGAATAATAACACTATAATATAACATTTTATATACATTTAAACTTTTATATTCATTTTAAAAAATAATATGGATGTAATCAAACACCTAATTTACATTTTTTATGAACTGTGGTTCAGTCACATTAAACTCAATGCTAAAATCAACTACAAATGGTGCAACTAATTGGAAATGATGGCAAGCAACTTTATTTTAAATATAATACTTTACATTATTTTTTCCTTTTTGAATTTCAGTAGTAGTTTAGCTGCACTACATTTAACAATGAAATAAACTGTTTGGTGCAGACAGGTGTCAGTAATGATGCACAAACTTTGGATTTTAATTTTGGATGCTGATTTCAGTGTTGTAAGTAATACAGCTAAGATTCTTTTGAAATTCAAGGTCGAAATAATTTAAAGTACTTATTTGATTTAAAGTAGTTATTATTACCTTCAAAATGCAGAGGTTGTGCAACTTAGCTACAACATTTGCTACCAAGTTTAGCGTTGCATATGCTGCAGCTGAAATGCTATTGAACATCAAAATATATAAAATTGAATATAAATTATTTTTTGCGTTACATACAAATTTCAAATATTGTGCATCATTGCGGACAACTTGCGGCACCATACACATTTGTTCTTAGAGATGTATGTAATGTAGCTGAAACAATATTGTAATTCAAAATATATAAAATTAAGTCAAGTCAAGTCAGGCTTTATTGTCAATTCAGCTATATACAAGTACACAGTGAAACGAAACAACATTCCTCTAGGACGATGGTGGAACACAGGAACACAAGTGCGAGACAAGCTAACATACTATGACATTTTAGCATCTTAGCAGATAACCTAGCATATATGAGAATGGCAGTCACTGAGGTAGCAACCAGAACAGCAATATACAATATACAGTATTTGGTTGATGCAGTAATTCTAGTAGTTAGCATTGTTAGAGTGCAGTAAAATGTGCAAAAATGCAAGTATTCAGATCTACAGGTATATCAAATGAAGTATTTCAGTGAAATGCAGAAATTATATTTAAATACAGTTTTCCAGACATAATTTGGAACTGCAAGAAGTGGAGAGTGAGTTAGTCTCATATTGTTGTATCTGCTCAATTATTAATCCATCTGGCCCTGTGAGTGTGTATGTTTGTGAGTGTGTAGGTTTGTGTGTATGTTTGTGAGTGTGTATGTTTGTGTGTATGTTTGTGAGTGTGTTTGTGAGTGTGTATGTTTGTGAGTGTGTTTGTGAGTGTGTATGTTTGTGTGTATGTTTGTGAGTGTGTATGTTTGTGAGTTGGTATGTTCGTGAGTGTGTATGTTTGTGTGTATGTTTGTGTGTATGTTTGTGAGTGTGTATGTTTGTGAGTGTGCATGTTTGTGTGTATGTTTGTGAATGTGTATGTTTGTGAGTGTGTATGTTTGTGTGTATGTTTGTGTGTATGTTTGTGAATGTGTTTGTGAGTGTGTATGTTTGTGTGTATGTTTGTGAGTGTGTATGTTTGTGAGTGAGTATGTTTGTGAGTGTGTATGTTTGTGTGTATGTTTGTGTGTATGTTTGTGTGTATGTTTGTGAGTGTGTATGTTTGTGAGTGTGGTTAGTTTTTATTACATTGAGGTTTGTTCCTCATTCTAAGGGAGTGCAGTTGCTTCACTCAGCGGAACATACCACAGATGACACATCTAAGACGCTCCATAAGCTTTAGGTCACCACCATGGTTGAGAGGGCTACTTTAAAAATGTAACCTGACTGATGAATTTTGGATTATAATGATATAAGTGATATAATGAAATAAACACAATAGAAAAATAATGTCAGCAATATATCTGTAACTTAATGTTGAGTGTTGATTTAGTTTCTCAGTTCTGAAGTGAGGTTCATGTCTTGTTCTGCAGTAAACTGTTCTAACAGACCCACAGTGGAAGCTCTCTGTAGTGCCTCATTTTAATACTTAGCTAACTGCTAACTAACTGAGTTCAATCATTATTTGGTCATTTGTTATTCACTGAAATTTAACCTGACTCTATCAGAATACTTAATTAACAATATGCTTTTTACACAGTTAGTAAAGCTATTAGTTATTTATATGAAGTACATTCAGAAGAGGAAAGTAACGAATGGTTCTCTGGAGGAGATATCGCTAAATTAGTAAGTAAGTAAAAGATCACCTTTTCTAAACACAGGTTTAAATACATTTTTTTCTCTTTGAAGTCTTTTTATCTGTAATCCACAATGAGAAACAATCAGTGCTCTATCAAGATGCTGATTTGGATGCTGTGTTGTTGCTCCACAGATGTAGAACAGAATGTGCATCTCTCTCAGCTTTTCTCCAGGATCCAGAGCTCCTGCATCTTCAGCTCTGAAAGTCCAGTCCACTGAGCTCATGGTGAGTGTTGTGTTGTTTATGTTGGGGGTTTATGGTTTTGGATCTGGCTGTAGGTCTGAGATGATCATCAGCTGTTTAAGCTGTCAGAGGTCTGTGGAACATAAAGAGAGAATCTAGTGACTGTTTTTTCTGTTTCTTTAAAATGGTTGTAGATGTAATAATATCATTTAGTCATTGGAGGGCAGCAGTGAGTGTGCTGAAGCTCACTGAGCTTACTGAACACACTGATCTGGCGTGAAAGTGAGACACACTGAATCAGAAGGAATTTTTGGGGCTAACAGCACAGCATATTCCACTAGGAGTGTGTGTGTGTGTGTGTGTGTGTGTGTGTGTGTGTGTTTCATAACACAGCAATGGTTGTGAAACAGGAAGATGCGAGTTCACCAGAAACAGAAGCAAGAATGTCCTCATTTGACTGCAGTGTACTTCACACCCTCAGTGTGGGTGGCACGGTGGCACAGTGGGTAGCTCTGTCGCCTCGCAGCAAGAAGCGCTCGATTCCCAGCTGGGCGACCCCTGCCCTTTCTGTGTGGAGTTTTTATGTTCTCCCTGTGTCTGTGTCGGTTTCCTCCCATTGTCCAAAGACATGCAGTCAGGCCAATTGGACTTGTTAAATTGCCCTAGTTGTGAATGTATATGTCTGGGTGTCTGCCCTGCAATGGACTGGCAACCTGTCCAGGGTGTTTCCTGCCTTCTGGTCAATAAATCACCAGGATAGGCTACAGCTCCCCCTGCGACCCAGAAAGATAAGCGGCTTAGAAGGTGTATGTGTGTGTGTGGGTGTGTGTGTGTGTGTGTGTGTGTGTGTGTGTGTTTGAAACAGCTTTCCAAAGATGTGGCAAACCACAGGTAATTTAGGTTTTAATGGAGGGGGCAATCACTTTTTCACACAGGGCCCTGTAGGTCTGGATTTCTTTTTCCCTTAATAATAAAGATCTTCATTTATAAACTGCATTTGGTGTTTACTTGTGTTATCTTTGTCTAATATTTAAATTTGTTTGGTGATCTGAAACATTTAAGTGTGACAAACATGCAAAAGAATAAGAAATCAGAAAGGGGGCAAACACTTTTTCACACCACTGTAGATGAGGTTCACAGTAGAGGGAGGAGCTTCTGTTCCACTGTCAGTAGGGCCGGATATGAAACTACACAGAGAAAGACGTACTAAATCACTTATTCATTAGTGTGTTAAGTCTGTATGTCTGTCTGCATGTTGAGTCTGTGTTGTTTTATTCTTATTAATCAACCTACAATGTTTAACTGTTAACAGAGAACAGGAAATAAAAGACAGTCAGTTTAAACTGCCTTTCTAACTGTGAATTCACATTAAAAGGAAGGAAAGCATTGCTAAAAAACTTCACCACCACACCCCTCACCCACACATGCACTCTGCTGACACTTTGCACTGTCCACTCAGTTACACTATTATATCTATTATTATAGTGTTGTATCCACATGTTAATGAATAATAAATCGATAATAATAAATAAGGGAGCTGAGCTTTCAGTTGAGGGTATGCAGAGCAAGTCCTTGCTGCTACTTATTTCTGGTACTTTTTTGTTTGTGTTTAGTTTTGCTGCCTTTCTCTGGAATTTCCTAATTTTTTATCTCCGATTCTTGGACTTTGTTGAATGTTGGATCTCTGGCTTTTGGACTTTGTTTGAACTCTTTCTTGTTGATCAGACACTCAGTTGCAACTTTGGTAGCCAACAACCACGAGCCCTCTCCCTCGTTCCCACAACTCTTAACTGCACCCCTCGCCAAGTTGTTGTCGGCCGTTTTGCTGTGCCAGGTATCCTAACCGCTTCCCTGCACTCAATACATATGTGTTTGGCTAATGTGGTGTATGGTTAAAGGCTGAGGTGTTACTGGGTTGTGTTGATCCTGATTCTGCAGTTTT